GGATATGACAAAGGGGAACAATGAGGAAAGCAATATATAGGCTAAAATGAAAGAAGGAGCTGGGGAAGCCTTGATCCTGAGTGCTGAGACAGACAAAAGGGGAAGAGGGAGAAGAAGGGGAAGAGGCCTCCTGCACATGGGGCTTGGGTCTGGTATCAGCTGTTCCCTGCCATGGATCCACTCCCCTGGTAACCTCCTTTCTTATCTGCAGCTTCACAGCAGAAGGAAGCAGCAAACAGGGGCCGCTGGATAGCAGATGGCATCTCTGGCTCACCGAACTGTGATGCTCAGAAGCTGCAGATGCTTTGGGGCTTTGGCGAATCACAGGGGCAACCACACAGCCTGAAGCCAAGCGAAGAGATGACAGGGAGGGAACTTAATATCAGCCTTCAACTATCTGAAGGGTGGTTCCAAAGAGGATGGAGCTGGACTGCTCTCAGTAGTGGCAGATTCATAGATTCATAGCTTGTAAGGCTGGAAAGGAGCTTGGAAGATCATCAGGTCCAGCCCCCCTGCACCAAGCAGGAAAGACAGCTGGGATCAGGTGACCCCAGCCAGGTGACTGTCCAGTCTCATCTTGAAGATTTCCAAGGTAGGCGATTGCACCACCTCTGGAGGGAGCTTATTCCACGGTCTGGAAACCCTAGCTGGGAAGTAGTTTTTCCTAATGTTGAGCCTGAAACCATCTTCCAGGAAGTTGTGACCATTACTTCTAGTTTTCCACAAGGGTGCCCTGGTGATCAGTTGTTCACCGAGCCCTTGATGTACACCTCTGATGTAGTGGTAAGCTGCTACCAAGTCACCTCTCAGCCTTCCCTTTTTCAGGCTGAAGAGTCTCAGATCCCTCAGCCTTGCAAGGCCAGTATGGCTTGCTGTGCAAGTCTCTGATCATATCGGTGGCCCTTCTCTGGATTCTCTCAAGCATTGCCAATTCCTTGTTAAAGTGTGGCACCCAGAACTGAACGCAGTACTCTAGCTGCAGTCTCACCAACGCTGAATGGAAAAATCACTTCCTTGATCTTGCTGGAGATGCATCGATTGATTCATGCCAGGGTATTGTTAGCCTTGCTGGCTACAGTATCACACAGCTGGCTTATGTTCATACTGTGGTCAATTATTACCCCCAGCTCCCTTTCATTCATGGTGCTAGTCAGGTTGGTGTTGCCAGGCCTGTAGGTGTGCAGGGGATTGTTCATCCCCAGGTGGAGCACTTTACATTTCTTGACGTTGAACTTCATCTTGTTCCAGTCTGCCCAACTTGCTAGCCTGTCTAGGTCCACCTGTATCTGCAGTCTATCTTTAAGCATGACCACACTTCCCCATAACTTGGTGTCATCTGGGAACTTGGCCAATGAGGTCCTCACCCCCATATCCAAATTATTCATGAAGATGTTAAAAAGCACTGGACCACACATCGATCTCTGCAGGACAGCACTGGCTGCTTCTTCCCAAAATGACACAGATCCATTCATTAGAACTCTCTGGGCCCTACCCCGCAGCCAGCTTCCCACCCATCTGACTGTCTTGCAGTTAAGCCCACAGTCTTCCAATTTTTTCATGAGAACATCATGAGATACCAGATCAAAAGCTTTTTGGAAGTCAAGGTATATAATGTCAACCTTCGCTCTCTTATCCAGGTGGTGAGTCATCTGATTGTAAAAGGAGATAATGTTGCTAAGACAAGACCTGCCCATGATGAAGCCATGCTGGCTGTTGTTCAGAATCCTACCATCTGCAAGTCTATCATACATAGACTCCTTAATGAATTTTCCTAGGATTTTCCCTGGGATAGGAGTATAGTAGGTCACTAGTTGTGATCTACTATAGTTACCCGGGTCCTTCCTCCTCCCCTTCTTGAAGATGGGCATGACATTGGCCCTCTTCCAGTCCTTGGGGACCTCTCCAGAGAGCCACAAGTTTTAGAAGATATTTGTCAGGTGTTCCACAATTATTTTGGCCAGCTCCTTCAGCACTCTTGAATGAAGTTCATCTAGTCCTGCTGACTTATGTATGTCCAATTTCTTGAATTGATCACACACCAGTTCTACGGCAATAGTAGGAAGGCAGTCATTTGAACCCTGATCATTCTGTACCCTAACTGGCGTGATTTTCTCCTTGGCCCACTGAAAGACTGAACAAAGTTGTTGAACAAAGTAGTTATTCAGAAGTTCAGTTTTCTCCTGAGTGCGAGTAACCAGCTGTCCTGAGTTGTTGAGCAATGGCCCCACGCTTCCATTCATTTTTCTCCTATTTCCTACGTACCTAAAGAAGGGCTTCATGTTATCTTTGATTCCCATTGCTAATTTTAGTTCAATTGTCACCTTAGGTTTTCTAATCTGATCCCGACAAATGCAGGCTATTGCTATATAGTCCTCCTTGGGGGCTGTCCCTAGCTTCCATTGCAGTGGTGGCCAGTCAATAGGGAATGCTCTGGCACTGCCCCACTAGTTTCAAAACTACACATGCACAAAAAATAATACTATCATTAATTGGAAGTATCCAAAACAGTGTCAGTTGAATTAACAATGTAAACAAAAGAAAAAATATGTTTTTTTCTTGGAATACTATGGATACAGGGCACAACCAACATAATAATCTGAGAAAACCCTATGTTCTTGAGTGTACACAAACACATGCTGTGTTTTTATAAGTGTAGCTGCCAGGATCTTGCTAAGGCATCAGTGGTGAGCTACAAAGAAAACACCATAATCCAGTGATCAGTCAGGGTCCTGCAGCATTCTGGGGTACCACAAGGTACTTTTAAGGGGTGTTGCAGGGTGCCAGCCAATATTAACACTGTTAGGTTGCAAACATATGATTCATAAGATAAACCCAGAGATTTCAAATAGAAATCCTTAGTGTCAAGAACACTGTGACCTATTGTGAGATTTCTGAATTCTTTGCACCAGAAAAATTTCTCTATTATTTTTCAGTAGTCAAGAAATCAGTGAAAGCTATGAGCTAGCATTTTCTGGGAGGTGCCAGGAGTCCAACGAGGGGTGTCTGGAGTCAGCACTGTACCTAGACTCCTGGTGGCACCAGGCAAATTTTTAATATCGGACCCTCCTTCGCCAGGGATAATGGTAATAATAATTTTTAAATTACCATTGTTGGACCCCCTTTTTGTCTGGGCCTCAGGCAGCTCCCCATTTTGTCCATGCCTGTGTCCAGCCCTGTCTGGAGTCTAAAAAGATTGAGGACCACAGCTTTAATTACTGTACTTCCCTAAAACAAATCAGGGCTTCTTCACTTTATGTGGGCCCTGGGCAGGGGTCTAAGACCAGAATAGACACTTGTGTCCTTCCCTGAATAATCTGATGCACTGTGAACACGTTAGCACTAGTTGTGATCTACTAGAAAGGGAACCTAGTTCCTCCTTAAATCCCCCAAGTTATGACCCCACAGAGGCCCATCAGTCTCCCATGGTAAAAACTGAAGCAAGCTTCTGTGCTGTGCCAACAGATTAGCAAAGGCTTCAGGTCAAGACCCACAGGTTTCAACAGAATCTGTTGCTCAACCATATGTTTGAACAGCGGAGTGCTTTGGTCTTATATGATCAAAGCTGGGTACAAGCTGGTCTTGTTCAGCTTGTCACCCTGTGACCAAGCATTGAAGACTTATTAAGTTGCTCAACAATTGTGTTCAACTTGCTGTCCCTTTAGCCAAGTATTGGTTTTGAATTGTTACCTTTTGAGGTTAGTTATATGAGTTGTTGTACATATGTGGACTCACACACACGTACCAGCAAAGGCATAAGCCCTGAAGAATGTGCCCAAGGAAGTCCTCTCTTGCTCTCCCCACTCCTCCTGGCTGCAGCACCAGGGACATGGCAGTGTGTGTCACGGAGTACAAGGTGTTCTGAGAATCACTGCTCTCTAGAGCGGCAGTGGAGCTCACTGTTGTTGGTGTGGGGCGGAGGACGGGGACTTTCACCCTATTTTTTACCACCAAAGTCCATGTTGAGAGGGCAAAAAAGGCTTATTTTGGCAGCAAAAAATGAGGGTCAGTTCTCCCCACAAGCAGCAACAAACTCTACTGCTGTTCTACAATGCATGGGGCATGGGTCCCGCTCACCCACCCCATGTTACATGACTTCATATTGGAACCAGCGCTTTAGAGATAACACGTTGTTGTGGGTCCCCTACCCAATTACTGAAGAGGGGAGAGAGCCAGGGAGCAACCAGCTGGCTCCAGGTCCCTGGAGGGAGCAGCAGGGGTGGAGAGCCTTTCAGGAAATACAGCTGCTCGTTCCAAGAGCAGAAGGCCATCAGGACTGTGATTGACAGGCCTGAGATAGGGGGCTACAGACTTCATAAGCCCAGGCCCATTGCTGAGGCAGGGAGGAATAGGCCCTGGGGGCAAAACAACCCTGGGCCTATTCCAGCTGTACTAGGGTTTGGGTAGAGAAAAACTGCAACTTTTCTTTGCAGGCATCCTAGGAGACAGCATTAGAGCTAGTCTCTCAGGCCCAGAGTTTCAAAGAGTGTCTGGGGTATATTTTTCTTTTAGGAGGTGCTTCAGGAAGTAAGTGAAAGAAGTTCGCTTAGAAGAAGGTTTTAGACTGCATCAACCAAAAGTTTGTTAAGGACCAAATGATCAAAGTAATCATTAATCAATTCCATCTCCCCCATCTTCCTTGAGCGTGCTGCTGTCCTGGACAGGTTGGAACACAAGTGGAAGCTACCAAACTGTCTGTCTAATAATTTATCTGTTCAGTTATTTCATTCAGACAAGTGCAGGAAAGTTGCATCATGTTCTGCACTTGTTTTAAATATACAACCTTTTTGAGATCTCCCCACATTTCTAGGTCTTTTCAGTTCACAGATAAGATTAAGAGGCCAAGGGTAAATAGAGGCATGAACCTCCAATCAGGTTTCTCCCTAGCTGGTTAGAAAGTGCTATATAAGCATTTTCCAGTTTTTGGATCTGAATATCATTCAAGTAGAAGAAAAGATTTTGCATGTGTGTCTGGTTATTGGGACAGAGTTAAAAAGGGTAAATGATGTTGCTAAAATGCTTCAGCAGTATTGAATAAGTATTATATCTTATCCCCATTTGTAAATGAGGATAGTGATCTAAATCTCACATACAAAGCCTTTTGAGTTCTAATGATGAAGATCACTACAATATATATTATTATATTTGTTGATACTTTGAGAGATATCTGTATTGATTGAGATTATTGTCCATCATTGCTCTCAGGTATCAAAATCTGTATCTGAAAGATTAAGTATAATCAGGCAGAAGACATTACACAACACAAATTAAGGAGTTGATTTATGTAAATAAAAGCCATTTTGACTTATAAAGTATCAATAACATAACGGAGCTAGTAATCTGAAATTGCTTCAGGGATTGGCTGTGGTGAGTCTAAGTGTCATATTCATATGGGTCATTCCTCCTGTATGAAATATGAGTGATGGAGCAGGGAAAAGTAAGTGCAATACATATCAGTGACAACAATAATAAAAGATGTGAACAACATTCCAGCCACAAAATTAATTTTACTGTAGGTTGCTCATTCTAGCCTTACATGAGGAGTCATTGCTCTTAGAAAATTAAACTGAGAGAAGCCCTGACATGTATTGTTTAAATGGATTCTGAGGGAAGAGAGGGAAGCTATTAAGTATTGCTGGTGTATAATACAATACAAACACTAAGCAGCTGCTTCTTTCCTAGTAAAGAAATATATTACACAGAATTTCCACTAAAGAATTCGTTTTATGTTGTATGGAAATTTTGGTCTTTACAGATGACTACAAATGAAACATAACATAAGCTGATATTCTCTTACTTTTAGCTTCTTCAAATATAAGAGAAAATTAGTCAAGAATGGAGCCCTCAGAAAAATATCTGTTCAAATATAAAGGGATTTATTTCCACCCTGAGTACGTTACACCTGAATTAATCGATTCACTGGAGGAGTTTGAAATCCGAGACAGTGATGTATTCCTAGTTACGTATCCCAAATCAGGTCAGATTTGTATCATTTTCCTAAAGGTTGAACAAGCAGTCTTTGGTCTGAGGTCTTCATTTATTCCCTCCTTATCATTATAACTATGTACAGGGACAGCTTTTGTCAGAATTTCTGTATTGCCTTGGAGCAAGTATTTTAGGCCACTTTTGAGACTGCAGTTTCCATTGCATTTGAAAGTGGCCCTGGGGATGAGCTTTAAGCTTTGTGTCGGGTGTAATTTGGATTTGGGGCGTGGACAAGATATGGGTGAGCATGTCCCAGCTGGAATAAGTTGCTGTCTTGGTAGCTTAATATATAACAAGCCCTTTACCAGATCTGACTTTTCATAATATGAAATGAAGCATAGTTTTAAAGAGACTGTATTTACAATGTATTTATGAATTTTAATTACATTGAAATAAAAAAATTGACTAATTTAATTAAAATTAATTTAATTAAAGTGTAATCAACAAACATACACATATACAATAAATACAACAAACAAAAATTCAGATTCATTAATTTCCTTCTTAGGAACTGTGTGGACACAGAATATTCTGAGCTTAATTTTTCATAAAGGCCATTGGGATGGAACAGAAAACATTCAAGTAATAGATCGAGTGCCATGGCTGGAGTACAATTTGAACAAACTGGATTATGCCAACCGTCCTTCACCTTGTCTCTTTGTCACTCACCTGCCTTACTATTTAGTTCCAAGAGGTGTGAAGAACAGAAAAATAAAAGTAGGTGATGTGATCTCTTAATTTTAATTAAAATGAATATAGCAAAGTCTAAAATTAGCAACCTCTCATCTCCAACCTCCCTTAACAGCCCTTTCCAAGGAAAAAGTCCCCTTCCTGTGAATAGAGGTGTTCAAGTTTCTCCAAGACACCATCTCTTTCCCAAAGAGATCACTGAAGATGAAGACATGGTCTAGGTGGTTATTCAACTAATGTGATAGGGTCTCATAGGCTTATGCTGTCTTCCTCCACTCTGGTGCTTTTCTTTAAAATTTAAAATTTGTTCGTGCTTGCTGTGCATAGTGCTACCTACCACGGTTTTGAAAGGAAGGGTAAGAACTGTTGGAACAATGTCAATTTCTTGCCTGGCCTTTGGGCTGAGGGATGTTTCTGCAGTTTGTGGTTTTGTCCAGCAGGCTTGCCTGTTTCACTGTCGTATGGGGACTACAGCTCAGTAACCCCAAGGTTTTTCTGTAATTTATATGTGAGCACGGTTCCTTTCATCTTGCAGGTTATTTATGTTGCCAGGAACCCAAAAGATGTGCTGGTGTCTTTTTTCATTTTTTGAAGACTGTCATCATCCCTGACAAAATCCCAGATTTCAATATTTTCATGGAGAGGTTTTTAGCTGGGAAAGGTAAGGTATTTTTGCTAAAAGGCCAAGCCTTGCTCCCTGAGCACAATCCAAGTGAACTTTAGATGCATTGGTAACCTGTACAGAGCTGCAGCTGGTCAGAATCAGGCTCTTCCTCCCTTTCCTACCCTCCCATATAACACATGAGAGTCAAAAGCTGCAGTGACTGTAGTAGCAGCCAGAGCTTGGTATCAAACATGTCCTCATACCAATAAAGTGCAAGCTGCCTCATTTATCTCAAATAAGTACTTCCCCTGAAACACCATAATGAAAATTTAAATCTATTTCTGGGCTAATGTACTGAGATAACCAAGTTGAGCCTGTGAGGATTATTACTGTACAACGAAAACAGAAACATGATTTTTTGCTATTATTAGAAACATGCCACTAATATATTATCCCAACCAGCTGAACCCCTAGCCACCTAATAGCTAAAAGCCTCAGCTGTTACCTGCACAGCTTCCAAATTTTCCTTTAATCTCTCTCACAATGCAACTGTCTCACATATGCAGGCTCCGGCACACTGAAAATATAAGTGCAGATTAAAATCAGTAATAAAATTAGGAGTTCTGCAGTGCTGCTCTACACTCTTGCATCTTTAATTCAATAGATATCAGCTATTGTTGCTGAAGTTGTTGCTGAATGTTTCATCTTCCAAGTGCTGCCCTATACTCCCCTTCCCCCCCCCCACCCCAAAGATATAAAACAGCATAGAAGAAAATAGCCATTGGACTGTATCATATTTCTCATTACAGCAAAGCAAAGAGAAATAATATATAAAAAGTAAAAGCATAATAATGAGCATAGGCATTTTGTCCCAGGTGGTATTTACATTCTGTGTGGTTACTGATGTATATAGTAAGAGACAAATTAGTCCTTTATTATCCATTAAAGTTGGTAATCCTCATAAGCCTAAAACAGGATTGGGCTTATCCTCCACCATGTGTTTAAGAGAGAATGTAAACCAGAATCTGGCCGTGAACTTACATAGGAAATGAAAATAAATTTCTGGGAATAATTTGGGAATTATGCCTTGGTATCCACTAACCAGCATATAGGAAAGAAAAGGAGACGGTAGTATATTTAACTGCTTTTACAACCCTGTTTCTGGTGATTTGGAGGGCTAAATATACCAAGAATGTGCTTATTCCATTAGCGGTCATTCATTTTTTGTTATTCTCATTTTTTTTGGTAAGTGCCTAGTAGCTCATGGCTGGATCATGTCAGAGGCTGGTGCGACCACAGGGATGAGTTCAATATCCTCTTCCTGACTTATGAAGAGATGAAAAAGGTAAGGTCAGTGACTATCACTGTAGCTAAGAATACCAGTAAACAATAGGCCACGCTCTGTCTCTCTCTGCACTATGCACTCTTCCAAATTTTCCACAGATGTATCACAA